CAGCTGGAACGTGGGTGCCAGAGGTCTGCAGTGTGTGTCAGAGGTATAATAAGAATGGATATACTTAGCAGTTGGGAGAATCCTCACGTGCTCCCTTGACCTGTGGGTGAAAGCTATTATAGTAGGAAAAACAAAGTGGAAACCTCTTTATCTATACTCACCCACACAGCAATATAATAAATCAAAACAAATATCACATCTGGGCAAATGGCAGAGAGTAGGTCCACCCTCAAATGCTGAAGGATACAGAGGTGATGGTCCCATCGTATCCCCATTTAGTTCACCAGTCTGGCATTTCCAAAGTCCAGATGGATAATGGCACATAACAAGGGACCACTGCCAACAGCATCAAGTTGTAGCCCCAACTGTAGCTGTTGTGCCAGATGTTGTATATCTTTACTACATTTGTTCATAACCGAAGCCTCAGGGATGTGGCATGCAGTGTTGATCTAGCAAATGCATACTTTTCATAATTTCTCAGGAAGATGAATCAGTAACAGTCTCCATTGATATGGGTCCAAAATCAGTATACATTCAATCTGTGCTCCACTATGGTCAAAGGATCTGGCCCATCTGGACATTCTACAGAACCTTACATTCATCTGCTATATTGATGACAACATGATAATCAAACCTGATACACAAGAAATGACACATATTCTGAATGCCTTAGCAAGACATGTGTGCTCCAAAGGGTGAAGTGGATGCATGCTAATATATTGATGATTGATGACAATGACATCCACTGATGACAGTGACATCAACTGTTGAAAATGACACCAATGACTCTCTCAAGTCTAGTAATTAGCAATTTAAAACAAAGTGTGCGAGTTTGAATGCACTATCCACATTTGTGACAATTCAGGCATATGCTTTATCTATGAAGTTGTTAGGGCTCCAATAATCTGGGGCATGGTGGGTATATTATCCAAAAAGGGAGCACATTGTTTCACCTTGTACCTCCTTCTAGCCCACGTTGAAAGAATGAGAGATGCTTTGTGGAGCCTCTGGCAAGACCTAATAAGAGAGTAGAAGTGCAGACTCCTAGGGTCCTGGAGCAAGGGCATGCCATCTACAGCAGTAGAAAAAGAGCTCCTAACATGCTCCTAGGCCTCAGGAGAGAGGGAGTGTCTGAGCACGGGCCATAAAGTGACCTGGTAGCCAGAACTTCTCATCACGATCTGAGTTCTATCAGACCCACCCTCTCAGTTCATACCTAGGGGCTCGTGAGAAGTTTTCTATGACCAGCTGTAATGGTTAATTTTATGTGTTAACGTGACGGGGCTACCGGGTACCCAGATATGTAGCTCAACATTATCTTGGGTGTGTCTACGAGGATGTGTGTGAGATGTGTGCGAGAATAAGAGAATAATCCCTTATTCTCTAAATGAGGCCTTGTGTGAATGGCCACACTAGGATTTTACTGTCTCCTACTTTTTGTCAATGAAATGGACCTTCCCATGAAGGGGGGGGGATGATATAATAAGACGAGAAGACCCTATAGAGCTTTAACTGACAAGTCCAAAAAGAACAAACAATTTACCAAGTTAAAGGAACAATAATCTTTAAATGGACTAACAATTTTGGTTGGGGTGACCTCAGAAAATGAAATAAACTCTGAGTGATTAAAATCTAGACCAACTAGTCAGAATATTTTATCACTTATTGATCCAAAATATTGATCAACAGAACAAGTTCCCCTACGGATAACAGCGCAATTCTATTCTAGAATTTGTATCAACAATGAGATTTACGACCTCCATGTTGGATCAGGAAATCCCAGTGGTGTAACCACTATTGATGGTTCCTTTGTTTAAGGATTAAAGTTCTGTGTGATCTGAGCTCAGAGCACAGTAATCCAGGTCAGTTTCTTTCTATTCTACATTTCTCCCAGTACAAAAGGACAAAAGAAATAAGGCCCGCTTTACAAAAGCACCTTCAAACTAATAGATGATATAATCTCAGTCTAATTAACGTATACCCAAACCTGCCCAACAACAGGATTTGTTAGGATGGCAGAGCCCAGTAATTGCATAATACTTCAAACGTTTTTTACCAGAGGTTTAATCTCTCTTCCCAACAACGTGTTGGAAAGGTACATAACCAACATTCTGTTATTAGTTAACCCAATTCTAATTGCCATGGAATTTCTCACACTGGTCAAATGAAAAGCGTTAGGCTACATACAAAGGGCCGAACATCGTCGGCCCCCATGGTGTCCTACAACGTACCACTGATCCTCTCAAACTATTCATTAAAGAACCACTACAACTACTAACATCATCAAGACTCATATTCATCATTGCACCAATCCTGACCCTCACCCTAGCCCTAAAAAGATGAACTCCACCACCCATGCCATATCCACTAATTAATATCAACCTAGGCGTGCTGTTCTTATTAGCCATATTGAGCTTACCTGTCTATTCCATTCTCTGATCAGGCTGAGCTTCACTTTCAACATATGCATTAATAGGACCCCTACAAGCAGTGACACAAACAATTTTATATACAGTAACATTAACAATTATTCAACTATCAGTCCTACTGATAAGTGGATCCTTCATGCTTTTGACTCTAATTATTACCAAAGAATCCCTATGACTGACTTTTCCACCTTGACCACTAGCCATAATATGATTCATCTCAATCCCAGGTGAAACTAGCTGAGCCCCATTTGATCTAACAGACGGAAAATTGGAACTCCTCTCTGCCTTCAACATTGAATATGCAGTGGGCTTGTGTGCCCTGTTCTTCCTGGCAGAATATGTCAACATCATTACAATATTTTTACAACAATCTTGTCTAGGACACTTCCACAACCCCTACAGACCAGAACTATACACAACTAGTTTTACTATTCAAACCCTTTTCCTAACTATCTCTTTCTTGTGAATCTGAGTATACTATCCATGATTCTGATATTACCAACTTATGCATCTCTTATGGAAAAGCTCCTGTCCAATTACAGTATCCCTCTGCATATGACAGTATCATTTCCTATCGTCGCATCAAGCATCCCACCACAAACATAGCAAATATGTCTGACAAAAGAGTTACTTTGATAGAGTAAACCAAAGAGGTTTAAATTGTCTTATCTCTAGAATTATAAAATCCTACTCCTAAGAATTTAAAAACCTCTGTGCTGCCACATTACACCATATTCTACAGGGAGATCCGCTAAATAAGTGATCAGGCACATACTCTGAAAATGTTGCTTTATATCCTTCCCATACTGATAAATCCCCTCATCACCATCATTTCGTCAACCATCATCTCAGGAACCATGATTGTAATAAGCTCACGCTGACTAGTAATCTGAATTCGCGTAGAGATAAATATATTACCTATGATTCCAATCCTAATTAAAAAATTTAATCCACAAGCCACGAAAGCATCCACTAAATATTTCTTAACACAGCCACTGCATCAACTCTCCTCATAATAGCCATCATTATTAATCTAATATATTTTAGCCAATGAACAATCACGAAGAACTCCAACTCAAAAGTATCTGCCATTAGGGGCTGCCCCCGCGGTGCAGCAGCGCACACGCTCTGCTGTTGGCAACCCGGGTTTGGATCCCGGGACCACACCGATGCACTGCTTGTCAGGCCATGCTGTGGTGGCGTCCCATACAAAGTAGAGGAAGATGAGCACGGATGTTAGCCCAGGGCCAGTCTTCCTCAGCAAGAAAAAAGAGGAGGATTGGCATGGATGTTAGCTCAGGCCTGTCTTCCTCAAAAAATAAAAATAAAAAATCTGCCCTTATAACAACAGCGGTTGTCATAAAACTTGGACTCTACTCATTTCAATTTTTTTTTTTTTTGGTGAGGAAGATCAGCCCTGAGCTAACATCCATGCTAATCCTCCTCTTTTTGCTGAGGAAGACCGGCTCTGAGCTAACATCTATTGCCCATCCTCCTCCTTTTTTTTCCCCAAAGCCCCAGTAGATAGTTTTATGTCATAGTTTCACATCCTTCTAGTTGCTGTAGGTGGGACACTGCCTCGGCCTGGCCGGAGAAGCGGTGCGTCGGTGCGCGCCCGGGATCTGAACCCCAGGCCACGAGTAGTGGAGCGCGCACACTTCACCGCTAAGACACGGGGCCAGTCCAACTCATTTCACTTTTGGGTGCCCGAAGTCACACAAGGCATCCCAGTAGCATCAGGCCTAATTTTATTAACTTGAGGAAAACTTGCTCCTCACAGACATTTCCATTGGGGTTGGTTTCAGGTTTCCTAACATCCAGTTGTGCAATACTGTTTCACAGTCCTAGGTTGTACAGTATTTACTTTTTTTCAGAAGTGTCTGAGGCCGTCTTGTTAAAAAGAAAATACTGGGGCCGGCCCAATAGCGTAGCAGTTAAGTTCACATGCTCCACTTCGGCAGCCTGGGGTTCTCGGGTTTGGATCCCTGACGGGGACCTACACATCGCTCATCAGGCCATGTTGCAGCCGCGTCCTGTATACGAATCAGAGGAAGATTGGCACCGATGTTAGCTCAGTGACAATCTTCCTCAAGCAAAAAGAGGAAGATTGGCAATGGATGTTAGCTCAGGGCCAACAGTCCTCACCAAATAAAGAAATAAATAAAGCTATGAACTAATTAAGTTAGATTAAAATACATACTGTTGTTACCTGGCATTGAAAGAAGTTTGAAAAACTAAACAATTTAGGTGTTAATGCTGAAGTCTTTAGTAATTTACATTTTTGCCTGTGTAAATATCATTTGTGATAGATTCTATGGCTGCTGTGACAAATTACCATAAATTTAGCAGAGTCACAACACAGATTTATCCTCAGACAGTCCGGGGTCCTGAAATCTCCAGTAGGATTCGAGGGACTGAAAGCAGAGTGTCTGCAGGGCCAGGCTCCCTCTTGAGGATCTTGGAGACAATCTGATGCCATGTCTTTTCCAGCTGCTACAGGCTGTCACATGCCTTGGCTTGTGGCTCCTCATCACATTGCCTTTTCTCCCTCTAGTCCGTCCTCACATCATCCTCCTTCTCTTCTGTACTCAAATCTCTCTCTGTCCACTCCCCTTACAGGGACCCTTGAGATGTCACTTAGATCCTACCAGACAATCCAGTATAATCTCCTCACATCAAGATCCTCAACTTTATCCCGTGTACAAAGGCCCCTTGATCATATAATGTAACTTGCACAGGTCACAAGGATGAGGCCATGGATATATTCAGGGAGCCTTATTACGCCTATCACACTATTAAAACAACTTCAAAATGATCCATCTTCATAGATAAACCTTTGGAAACACTGTCCGTTTCCACTCCTGTGTACTGGATTGTGGTGAAGTGCTGCCCCTACAGGTGAATGGCTCTATGCTCCCCCAGCACTGTGGGAGGGTCCAGTGGCAGCATTTCCTCTGACGTTACCACCTACCTTGCACTTGGTTGGATGTAATCTTGGATTAAAAGTGCTTATGAGTAATCCAACACATTCTCATTGGCCAGTGTCACTGCCTCTGTGCAACTGGGCAGAGTATATAAGAGGCCAGCTGTCCAGGAATGATGTCATTACTTCGACTGACATCGACAGAGACACTCGCTACATTTTGGCTATGAATTCACTTATTTCATTTAGTAAGGCCAAGGCTATGAGAATTCTGGAGGGTAGAGTGGTTGCATTTCTCACTGATAAGATATGGAAACTCATAAAACATAAATTAGTGGCATATGGAATGGTGAAGTGCCTCAAGATCCTTACACCTTTGTCTAAAGTTCTAATCATGAGATGCTGACATATGTACTTGGCAAGCTAGCTTCTGTTGCATACAACCAGTGGCAAGTGAAATGTTTAAGAAACAGGATCGCACATTTCTTTAAAAAGATGATGCATCGCCAGCCAGCACAAGTGATTGTGGTTTAATGTCTACTTATAAATCCAGCTGGGTAGCTACAAAATCCTCATGAAATCTTAAAAGACAACATCACATTACGTTCATAAGACGATGCCATGTGGGAAGTTAACAGCAGAGAATGTGCTTCATTGCTAATTATAAATCTCGCACCTTATGATAACGATCTTCAGGGGGAAACACAGATTCCTGACCTGCCTTCCTGAACCTTGTGGTCTCATCAACCTCCGGCAGAAAACTTTGATACTTAAGTTTTGGTTTCATCGTCGTCTAATAACTCCGCCTCCCTGACAAAAAACAACCCGTCTGTGACAAAGAAGAGGGATTTGAGACTGAGGAAATAAAGTATTAGCCAACTGGAATGTGGCCTCAGGGTGGTTCTGTGGTGATTTCCTTCTCATGTTGGGGTGAGTCTGTGGCCTGGGCTCTGAGCAGGGGAGTGGTCCCCATCTGGAGTGAATCTATGGTCAGCGGGGAGGACATCTCTACCTGGGCAGGGGGCTGAGGGTTGTGAGCCTGGATGGGGTTTAGTGGATGGGAAGATTTCCAAGGTGAAATTCTGGAGTTGAGTCCTGAGGAGGCATTAAAAATCTCCTGCCTCAGTATGGAGAGCAGAGGCAGGCACTAAAAGTAGGATGGGGGCTTGGAGAGGGCATTTCCTGGTATTTGGGGAGGACTAGAAATGGGAGCTGAGGGGAAAGGGCGCCGAGATGAGTTTGGCGAATAAAAATCCCCTCAGCCAGTTGAGGGGGGCAGAAGTCTTCAAGGGAAATTCTGGGGGGGACAGAGGAAAGTGGATGCTCTGTGCAAGGAGGGACCCTCAGAACTGTAACAACAGACCTCGGAAGGGGAAGGGCGTTTACTTGAACAAGCCTCTGTGCTGTCCCAGAGGGGCCAGTGAGGGTGATGTTTTAAACAGAGCAGGCTACGACTAAGGCTTCTTTGTGCAGGAGGAAGTGACCCTGTGTACAAGTCTTCCCAACCCTGAGAGACACTCCTCACCCCCAGATTCACCCCCAATGCTCAAAGGGTGGTGCCTCTCTCTTCATCTCCTGCCCCTTACCCTCTCTCACCTTCCCCTATTTCTAGATTCTTCTGGGCTCCAGACACTCCAGGTCTTCCTGACCCTTGATTCCCTTCCCCTCCTGCCTCCCAGTACCCAGGCTCCTTTTCAGCCTCCACTAGGCGTCTCAGTCAGTTTCACTTACAAATCTTGGCATATTGTTAACTTGTAAGCCGCAATGAAGGCCGTTTTCAAGCTCGGAGGTCGACATTCACTTTCCTGCAGCACAACAGGAGATTCCGCAGCCACCTGACCCAGAACCGGCTGTGAGAGGAACTGGAAGCTCTCAGCCTGGTGGGAGCTGAACACTGAAAAGTCTGCCCTCGCTCTTGAAACTCCTTCTGAGGTCTCTAGTGCCCGCCCCCAGCCCCTCCTTCATTGGCCACCCTCCCCGCCTCCAACACAGATGTTGAGAAACCCACTTCTGGCAACACACCAGCGCTCAACTTCCTTCCTTGCTTCGAATCTGCTTACACCCTCAGCTCAGGCCTCCTGTCTCCTCAGGGTCCTGCTCATTCTCCAGGATTTCAAGCCCCATGAGGATTTGGATCTCCCTCTCCACCATATTACCTGTCTCATGTCCCCTGTCAGCCTGTTTTTCAGGTGTCCCTGCAGACTCCTGTGCCCAGGAGATTTACATCTGTGGTCCTCCATCCAATTCCTTCAACACACACACACATATACACACACACACTTGGCTCTAAGTGATGCCCACAAAGGGTCCCTCCCTGAAATTCACTTCCCACAGGGGGGAGGGCCTGGAGTTCTCCCCTTCCCTTAGTGACTCCATTTAACTCTAAGTGCTTTGAACTCTTACAGTCTCTTACCACACCTCTGCCCAGAACACCATCCTTGCTTATCACTCCTCACTGCCGCCTCTAATTTCTAAAGTATCTGGTATTTCTCTTTAAAAATGTTTACACAATGTAGTGAATGCTTTAGGATCACTCTCAGTTCCTGTTCCCCAAGCTGCTAATTCATCCCCAAAGATGCCCTCTTCTGTGGAGATTTGCCCTCAGCAGACCTGCAGTCCCTTCCCCAAGTGGTTGCCTGCCTCCCACTCCTGAGAGCAGCCAGCAGCCACGGCAGCCTGGCACAGGGCTCTGGAGCCCAAAGTGAGGTGAGCCTGGGCTGCACCGTGTGCTCCAGAGCCTCCGTGGTCATATACAGCAGATCCCCACTCCCCACCTGACCATTGATAGCTTCCTTTCTCTGTGCTTCCCGAATTCCCTCCAGCAACCCCTCCATGAAACTCTTGAATCCCGTCTCATGCTCTGTTTCTAGGAATCAGGAGCCAGGACTGTCCACACCTGCAGTGGACCTAGGAAGCCGGCCCCAAGGGGATATTCTGGGTTGGATCACTCACCACAGATGGTGGCGAGCACCTCACACAGCTGGGACGAGGGGTGCCAGAGGTCTGCAGTGTGTGTCAGATGTATAATAAGAATGGATTTAGCTAGCAGTTGGGAGACTCCTCATGTGCTCCCTTCACCTCTGGGTGAAAGCTATTATAGTAGGAAAAACAAAGCGGCAGTCTCAGCTCTAGCAATCAGCAATTTAAAACAAAGTGTGAGAATTTGCATGCCTTGGGCACTATCTACATTTGTGACCATTCAGGGATCTGCTTTATCTTTGAAGGTTTTAGGGCTCCAATAGTCTGGGGCATGGTGGGCATATTATCC